CACCCCGCCCCCCCAGCCTGTTCATTCGTACCCCCCACCCTGACACCCCGCCCCCCCAGCCTGTTCATTCGTACCCCCCACCCTGACACCCCGCCCCCCCAGCCTGTTCATTCGTACCCCCCACCCTGACACCCCGCCCCCCCAGCCTGTTCATTCGTACCCCCCACCCTGACACCCCGCCCCCCCAGCCTGTTCATTCGTACCCCCCACCCTGACACCCCGCCCCCCCAGCCTGTTCATTCGTACCCCCCACCCTGACACCCCGCCCCCCCAGCCTGTTCATTCGTACCCCCCACCCTGACACCCCGCCCCCCCAGCCTGTTCATTCGTACCCCCCACCCTGAGACCCTGCACCCCCAGCCTGTTCACTTGTACCCCCCACCCTGACACCCCGCACCCCTCTCTGTACCCCTCCTCTCCATCACTTGCTATCCCCAGCCCTTATACGCTCTCACTGGGTTGAGACAGGCAGTGCCGGCTCTGGGGTGAGAGAGGGATTTGGGTGTGGAAGGGGTGAGAAGTGCAAGCACTGGGAGGGAATTTGGATGCAGGAGAAGGGGATGCTGGCTCAGAGAGGGTGCGTCAGGCTGGGGAGTGTTGGGCTCAGGTTGAAGGTTGGTGTGCCGAGTAAGCCACAGGCTTATAGATGTGAAGGTGCTGGAGTTTGTGTTGGATATGTGAGGGGCTCAGGGCAAGGAGGTTGTGAGTATGATGGGCTCAGGACACAGATTTGTGATGTGTGGATGGTGCAGGAATGTTGTGTTAGAAGACTGAGGATGTGGGGATGCAGGCGTTTGGAGATGTAAGAGGCTCAGGACGGGGGGGTTCCAGAGTACGATAGGCTCAGATTTGGGGTCAGGTGGTGCGGGAGAGTTATGATGCTGCAATGAGATGGGGATTTGGCCCCAATTGGGGGCTTGCTGGCCAAGCTTCACTTTTAAATAAAATATGTCAAACTCAAAAGGTTTTAAGCATTGTCTTTGAGAGAGGTGGGAAACCTGTTTTGAATCAAGGGTCACTGACCCACAGAAAAGTCAGTTGGGGTCACACAAGTGAGATGCAAAAAAACCCCTCCAAAACCCCCAAGCCTCATTAATGTGGTCCCAACTGTGTTGGTGGGGTAGGGGGCAGGCTGCTGGGGCTAGGGAGAGGGTGCTGCTGGATGTCAGGATGCTGGTGTCAGGGATATGTTCCTGCTGGGCACTGGGGAGGGTGCTGGGACAAGGAACAGATGCTGCTGGGTCTAGGATAGGTGTCAGTGTGCTGGGGCCAGGGACAGACCAAGACCCCGCACCCACAGCCTCCTCCTGCTCTCTCCCCCCGGCCAGAGGGTGAGCGAGGGTAGCGTGCAGCCCCCATGTCATTATTTAAAGCTGTCAAGTTACAGAGACCTCACCATTTACACCCGCTCCCATGTTGCGAAGGAAGGCGAAACCCCCCAGGGTCTGTCCATCTGACCGGGGAGTTCCCTCCCCACCCCAAACATGGCCATCAGTTAGACCCAGAGCATATGGGCAAGACCCACCAGACAGACACATGGGAAAGAATTCTCTGTAGTAACTAGAGCCCACCCCATCTTGTGTCCCATATCCAGCCATTGGAGACATTTGCTGCTAGCAGTCGCAGATCAGCTACATTAGGCAGTCTATTGCTTCCAGGGAAGAGCTTCTGTGCCATCCCTGTTTGTAACCTCCTTTTGCAGCATATGCACATCCCCTCCCTTGGAGTGCAGGTACCAAGGGGTATGGATGCCACCTGTTCAGCCATCTGGCCATCACAACCTCTGTTGGTCCATTGCCCTAAGGCCTATTGGTCCAGGATCAGTTGCATTGCCCCTTTTGCTCTCAGGACAACACAGCACCAGAACTAGAGTCCATAATAATAGCCCTCAGTTCAGGGCAGCTCAGCCTAATGACTAGAGTCATAGGTTTGGGGCAGTCATGCCATCAGGGGAGCACAGGCCCACCCTACTCCACCAATCCCCAACCCAGGCCCCTGTAAGTGTCTGAGAGCTCCAACACTCACTCAGCAGGGAATCTGACTGCAACATACTGAGCACACTCAGGTGAGAGAAACCACTTGCACTCCTCCCTGGGTCACTTCCTACCAGATCCAGAGTTGGGGTACTCCACATAGTCCTCTGGTTCCACAGCATCAGTTTCCTCCTGCAGTTCTTCTGGGTCTGGAGGCTCAGTACAATCTCCTAGGTCTTCAGCTCCCATTGTCTGGGTTTCTAATTGGTCCACCTCTGGCACTCCTCTAGAAGGTCCTTCCTCTCCAGCACCCAGCCCAGACTGAGCTTGAATGTCACTCAACTCTGAATATAGTGGAAACCACTTCGCCTCGGGGGTGCCCTCGTGCCAGCACAGGTGGAACCGAGAGTCTCCATTGTGTCGTGCTGTGGGTGAGATAACACCTGGGTCGCCAGGGCTTGGGGCCCAAACCAGAACCCCACCCTGACTTTGGATCTAGTCTCATAGACTCATAGACTTTAAGGTCAGAAGGGACCATTATGATCATCTAGTCTGACCCCCTGCACAGTGCAGGCCACAGAATCTCACCCACCCCCTTCTAGAATAATCCTCTCACCCATATCTCAGATATTGAAGCCCTCAAATAGTTTGAAGACCCCAAGATGCAGAGAATCCTCCAGCTGTGATCTGTACCCCATGCTGCAGAGGAAGGCGAAAAAGCTCTAGGGTCTCTGCCAATCTACTCTGGAGGAAAATTCCTTCCCGACCCCAAATATGGCGATCAGCTAAACCCTGAGCATGTGGGCAAGACTCCCAGAAAGTTCTCTATAGTAACTCCTATCATCCCTCCATTAACCTATGAGCCCATCACTCTGATGAGACAGATGGGAACACCAAGTCGAGGGGTGTAGAATCAGGGAGAAAACAGAGCTGTGAGATTTGGATCAAAGGCCCAGCTCTAATGAAAAGCAGGAAGGTGAGCATCATAAATATCAGAATGAGACAAGGAGGGGAAAAGAGCCCCTTTCCTCCAGTTGCTCTTCTTCCTACCGGTTTCCATCCTGATCTGCACTTACTTCCTCCCAAAACAGAGGAATGCATGTGAAATCTGTATTCGAGAGGAAAGGAAAATGGGGGTGGGGTGTCTTTCTGTAGCACAACTTAACGGTTCTTTTCCTGTGCTGTGGACGTGTGATTTTAGCTTCCCCTTTTCTATTTAACTTGAGGCAAATCGATTACTGTTTGCTCCCTGCATCGCATGAATAATGTGGAGCATTCGAGTAGTGCTTGTCATCTTCACAAGGTTTTCCAAATATCAATCAAGAAAATGGAGCAGCCTTTTATGGTCTCCCCATTTCATTGGCAAGGGCTTGAAGCAGGAAACTTGGAAAGCGTGTGAATGTTTGATTGAACTGTAGAGAACATGATGATTGTACAGATTAAAGCAATCCTAGTGCTTCAGAAATTAATATAATTTGTTAAACAGTGGATCTGCATGCTCAGTATTGTAAAATTCAGGAAACTGAATGATTCTAGCAAGAAGCCAATACAAAAAATATCACTGAGTAAATATAGAATCTATTGCAACTGAAAGAAATGGTGTATAGTAAATGTTGGATCTATGTCAGAATAATTACAAATACAGGAAGCTAAAGTAGTGTAATGTGGTGATTTTGGGGGGAGGGCTAAACTTTTTAAAAGGCATGCAATTATTTTGAATATTTAAGAGTCTTTTAATATTTATAAAATGGTCATCAATCAAGATTGGGGCTCCATTGTGCTAGATGTATAGAAATAACATAATCCATAAAGCTTACAGTCAAAGACCTTCTAAGAGATCATCAGCATAGAGCAGATGGCAGGATTGGGGTTTATCAGGTTTTTTTAATGTTTTATATTAATTTAAAAAATAAGCCTTCATAATGGTTATTTTCTCATAGAAGTTTGCAATGGATTCACACTATTCAAGTGATTACAATGTGCAGAACACACACAGAGCTGAGACAGACTCTATTGCTGAAAACCCCACTGAATCGGTCGCATTCCATAGCTATAGAAAAGTTACCTAATGTTCAGAAAACAAAGGGCTGGATTGTCTTCCGGTGCAAACTCAATGGGATGACATCAGTTTACCTGTTGAAGATCTGGCCCCAAACAGCCCAAATTCTTGGTAGCCATAATAATGCTGCCTGAAGAGACTGTGTTTAACTGTCTGACATTATTTGTGAGCAAGGATGTTCCTGTGGTCAGGGTGTTAGTCCCAGGGGATGTGAAGTCAGTTCCCTGCTTCACAGTTTTCCTGGGTAACATCAGGCAGGACACTTAGGGTCACATTTTTAAGGGTATTTAGGTGCCTAAAGATACAGCCAAAGGAATTTTCAAAAGGCACAGAACCAGGTTAGGTACCTAACTCCCATGGAAATTAACCTGCTTAGTGCTTTTGAAAATCAATCTTCGCGCCCCCCCTTCCTCCCCTGCAACTTAAGGCACCAAATACCTTTGAAAAGCTGGCCCTTAGTCCCTGGTCCCCATCTGTAAAATATGGCTAATAAGAATTCTCTCTCTCTCTCGGGATAAATGCAATGGCTGGGGAAGCCACAAGAGTACCTAAAAGACTTCTGTGATGGTGGGGTCCAAATGTCCCCTTAGGGCTGCTGCTCCCTTTTGCTAGAAACAACACCAACTAATGGCCCTTCCCGTTTCCTGCCCAGTAGCGGATGCGTGTAAGCCCTTTGGGAAAGTAGCTGGGGGAACTGGGCGTGATGGAGCAGAAACTGATCTCTTCACTACGTATGCAGCTCAGTGTTTGCCATCAGTGAGTGGGGGGGAATTAGAACCACATGGGGAACGTGTGGCATGAATGGAACCCCAAATGCAGACCTGATTTGCCTGTTGTCATGAGGCTGTGGCCTAGGGGTCTGGGCAGCCTGGTGCAATATGAGAGAGGAAATTCCCTTTGAATTTTTTCGGGGTCTGTTCCAACCCAAACGACCAGGCAGAGAGTGAAGGGACTGAAACTCCCGGTGAATTTACAGCCCCTGGCCAACATCAGAATCTGGCCCCCATGGATGTGCCAGTGAAACGTTTTGCTCTGTGGCACACCAGCCTGTCGTTACGCGGCTATCGAACACCACCCCTTTTCAGCCCCACGCAAACCGTTTCACCCTCTGTCTCCCTTGCTCCTGCCAGAGTGGGCCTGTGATCGACATGCCGGTACCGGCCAGCTTCAACGAGCTGACTCAGGATCCCAATCTGCGGCAATATGTTGGCTGGGTTTGGTATGAGAGAGAGGTGCTGCTTCCCCGGAGCTGGCTGCTGAATGCCCTCACCACCCGAGTCGTGCTGCGGGTGGGCAGTGCACATTACTACACCATAGTCGTAAGTACGGTGGCCCGGCGAGCAAGTGGACGTGCATTCAGCCCAGCTCAGAGGCTCTCAAAACACCCACAGTAACGGCTGCCCTAGGTTACCCCACCCCCTGTGTTATAGAAGCATGTGGCAGCATAATGTGTCTGGCAACAGGTTGTTCCAGCCAGGGGGGCTGGCAGACTTGCTGGGCAAGGTGGGGGCAGGGCTG